GAAGAAAACAGTTCACAGACCAGATTTTTCATAACATATTTTCTTAACCATGTGGCCATTACATACTGTACACAACTGGGTAAAACAGTAATGTTATAAAGCTACAAGCAAGAATAATTATTGCATTGTAAGAAAATATTTTTAGGTTATAAAACACATTAACCAGGAAAATTTACTTACCATTCCAATCATCAGAGGTCATATCTCCCCAATACTTTCTAACTCTCAATATTTCCTTCAGTATTAACAAGTATGTGCGGCCAAAACATTTACGAAGATACACATCATTTAAAATTTGCAAAATGCAAAACATGACATTTGAACACTTTAATTCTGGAACACCTAAAAAAGGATAATATTTTAAATTCTCTGGACTAGGTCTAATAAACATAATAGTGCAATGTAAATTAGAATGTAATAAAGATGCATAGTTAACAAATAGCAACATTCCACTGCCCAACTCTCAATTCAAATTCAAAACAAAACTGTTATAATCCTAAATAATGTTTCATAAAACAAATGTAATGATAGTTTCAGATTTACAATAGCAGAAAGGAGAGAAGAAGCAATGGTGAAGTACAACGTATTTTTTTTATTTCACATATTTAAAAACAGAAATTATCAAGCCAAAGAAGGCTGAAGGAGAGGTCAACAAGATTCAATAAAGATGGCTGTCTTCTGGGTTGTAGTGCCATGCAGTCTGGCAGTAGTGCACTAATGTTTCAGAGGTCCTTGCTGCCTTCATTATCAACACTATGGCAATAGAGGCAGCAAGACCACTTGAAACAATGGTGACCAGACTACAAGGTGCTACAACCCATATTTGTACATACTATTATGAGAACCCACAAATAAATAACACAATATATCAATTAAGTTCCAACGTTCATCACAATGAGAAGCGGTTACTTCTAAATTTGAAGTCTTTATATAATGTCAATTACAACTAAATATGACACGCTGTACTTTACACCAGCATTAATGCATAGTTCTGAAACATGGACAATCAAACAAAATGACAGGAGTAAAAAATAAGCAATGGAGAAAATAAAAAAGAATTAAAAATCAAACAGAGAGTAGCAGAGTTTACAGATTTTCATGCTTGTAGGTAAAAGTCTTCAACTGTGCCAAAGATAACACTTTGGGAATATTAAGTCCTCTTTATGATTCAAAGTGCACTTTAAACTGTGGCTCTCCTCTGGTGAACATAACTCTCATGATCACTGAATCATTGGGTGTAATAGAATCTCCCCTATGCATGCTCCCACCTCGGAAATGGATTCTACATTCTTGCTTGGATGGACAAAAACCAGGAAAGTCATCACAGACCATAGATGGATATATCAGATGCAAACAAGCAAGGAAAGAAAGAAAGAAAGAAAGAAATGTGTCAGTCCCTCATCAACAATACATCCAGCATACTCATATAATAACTTTACATGCCTTTGATTGCCTTTGTAACTACATTATCAATTAATGCTGAACATTTAAGCTTCATATTTTCTCTATTTGTTTGGGAAGATGATGATGATTGTGGCTTCTGCTCCTCTGCTCTGAATCGGTCTGCTTCCTGAAGTAAAATAAAATAAAATGAAATACCAGTAGAAGAAATTTAAAGAAAATGCCAGTAAGTTAAAAAGGCCTATTTTTACCTTTAAAATCAATTTATGCACCGAATGGAATAAAGAATCCCACGTTAAATTATTTCCACTGTCACTCCTACCCAAAATCTTTGCTGTCTGTGAGTCCATCAAAAGTTCTGAAAGTCGTTCCATACTTTTCTGCAATAAAAAAAATTGTTGGCAATAAATTACATTTTATGTTTATAAGAAACCAGACCAACACAATACTGTGATGACATACACTCATTAACACAGGGCACTAATAATGATCTGATAAAGATCAAATGTGTCTATCCAATACAAGTTATGTACTGTTGATTTAAATGTAATGAAAGCTAAATGATCAAAATCTGACAGTCAACTGCAGCTACAAAGTAGGAGAAACTAAAAGATGAGCCCAGTTAGTGGTGAGTGTTGAGATTCACACATTTAGTAATTTACCCCCAGAAAAAGAGTACCTGGTACATTCATTATTGATTATTTTTAGTAAATAAATAATAATTTGTTTCTTTCAGCTGACAGGACCTGCTGAATGAGTATGCCTACCTTCCTCTCCGTAACTTTATTGGAATCACAACCAGTGCAACACTCCATTAAGTCTCTTTCGATGGTACCCATGGCTCCTAAATTTTCTGAAAATAACACAAACAATGTAACCTCCCAAAAATTCATAGAACATTAAGATTTAATACATTTCTTGATTAAATTCAGGATAATAATTCTGCCCTCATCTTAAAATCAAAATATAAACACAAGATTTTATTAAAATGTATACAGATACTAATACAATAAAGAGGCACAGAATATTCATGATAGGTGGTGGTCTTCTAAGCTGTTTTGCCAAATAGTCTTTTGGCTCATACCAACATCTTGGAAGAACATGCTGCCTCCGTCCTCAGGGACAACATAAGAATTATTAGAAAGTGAATGGTGAAGACTAGAAGGATCAAGCCATAGGATAAGGAGGTTGACAAGGCTACATACAGGCAAACAGGTAAAAGCGCTTTCCAGAACACCATGACAGATGGCTGGGTTGCATGCAAGATGGTACAAACAAAATGGTAACTCTATAGATCCAGAAATAAGGTAGGATCAAGAGAGAATCTTGGAGAGTGTTATCTTACATTGTTTCAGTGAAAACCAATCCTCTCTGCTGATGATGTCAGGATCAAGCTTCATCAATATCACATCCCAGATCCTGTCCATGCAATTGGCTAACTAAACTAGATGGTAGAGGCATATATGGACAATGGAATGGTCAGTCTGTCATATGTAAATCTTCCCACTCACTGTTTTCAGTAAGCCAGTCTTCACGCTATGTTTAGATAGCTTATATGATTTAGGTGATCTTGCTGAAGGGAAAGAAGGCAACTGAAGGATCCGCCCTACGTGTTTTCTTTTTCTTTTTGTTTTGTGATAGACAGAGGACAGAACTGCTGATCACTGTAGTCATTTGGTATAAATATTAATTTTCAAAAATCCAAATCAGCATAGAGGTTTTTCTGGTAGAAGATGGTCATGGCTGATCAACCTTGCATTCACAAAGAAATTAAGAGCTGATTAATCAAGAAATGTCTGCTATCATGCACTTCAGAATCTTCTGTTTTCCCATCTGCTATTTAAAATTATAAATATTAAAACATACAAACCAATATTATCTGTCATTACAGATGGGAGTAAAACTTGGTCTCTCAAACTAGGGGAAAAGCAATGACTATGGGTATTTGAAAACAGGGTGCTGGAGAGGATATTTTGACCAAAGAGCAAACTTCACAATGAAGGCCACCACTATTTTCACCGTTTGTCAAGTATTAGTAGGATAATGAAATCAGGGAGGATGAGATGCACAGTGCACATAGCATGCATGGTGGGAGATGAGAAGTTCATAAAAAATTTTGATTGGTAGCCTGAAGCCAATCAGAATACCTACACAAAGAGAGAAAGATTTGAAATGTATCAAAAACAATTAA